TGCACCCCCTGCTGATGGCCTGGGTCTGTGAATAGGGATATTTTCGCGAAAGTTCCGCGAAAGTTATGCGAAAGAGCGGGCGAAAGTCAAAGTGCATGTTGAAGGGGGTGGGCCAGTAAACCTTGCCAAAAAAACCTAGTCAGCAACAATTTGCCCTGAGAAGGGATTCCGTGATGCTAGCTGCATGTTTAAAAGGCTATCAAGAAGTGATCCGTGATTCTCTGGCGTAATTTGGCAGGTGGTGAACGAATCTTTGTAAGAGGTGTTGTTGGCCAACATGGGCCCCGCGAAAGATAAACATGGAGTTCGCGAAAGTTTCGCGAAAGTAATTTGTTTATTCGCGAAGAATGGCCGTTCTGGGATAAAGGAATTTTGATCAACAACCATATATATTATTGTATACATATGGAATTTCCGACAACACAACTCCGTGCCAAACTGAATTCATAGTCATGTGGCTTTTTCCAGTAAAGCGTGGTGTTTTCATGATGGCAATGTCAGGAGGATGAAGAGGGGTTTTTTTAGTGACAAGAAATTGGGATTGTAAGCATAATCTCAAAATATCTCGAAGATGTATATGATATTTTTTATTTTTCCATCTGTTGGGAATAATCATCCCAACTGGCTAATATTTTTTCAGAGGGGTTGAAACCACCAACCAGATATGATATTTTCATGCCTTCATGATATCCCAGGTATTTTTTTGGTTGTATCTCCCAATGATATCCCCATGACCTCCCTATGATTCTCATGGAAACCTAACTTCGACGTCGGAAGCCCAGGCAGCGCCTTGTCGTTGCTGGGCACCGGTGGCCACCAAGGTTTTTCAGCCATTGTGACTTGACGTGACATGGGATGAAGAGCTGGTGGATGCCACCACGATGGTAGAAAGGAAAACAACAATGAGTTTTCCCATAATTAACTGACCAAGTGTATATAATGATTCCAAGATCATTATTCCAACAACCATCATTATCAAGTGTATAGTGGAAGTTGTGGGAAAATCACGATATAATGCAACCATTGTTATGGGAAAACCACCTGATTTTTCACACTATATGGTAATATAATGTAATATATACCTGTGGAAAAATTGCGATGATTATTTTTTGTCCCATGATCTACCACCTTTATATTCCCATTTTTGTGGGCAATATTATATTCCCAGTGTTACAAGTAGCAAAATGCAATGGACCACAATGGGAATATCCATATATGAATATTTAACGACCACAATTAAGGAGATAATGGGATATAACATATGTGATATATATATATATACATATATATATATATACATTTATATATATATACACTATATATACATATATATATACTTGCATATGTAGAGAACCAACACCATGATGTGGGATTGTCGGAAAATGATGAATACCAATCCACCATGGGAAATCATGAAAACATCATCACTAGAGTGGATGCAGTGGTAACAGGTCCGTTCCAAACATGGCATTGTAGGAATACAGGGGAGATCCACATGATAAAAACTATGGAAAAAACACAGTAAACTATGGAAACACTTAGTCAGTTTGTGATTTTGAGATTGTTTTCAGCTTTTATAGGATTACCCTTTGGTAAACATACAAAAAAAACTATGGAAAATCACAAAGTTTAATTAATAGGTAAATCAACTATAAATGGGCCATGTTCCAATAATTAGCTATGTCAATGTAAAATTACCAGAGGCTAGCTGGGATCTTGGCATTTGGTATCAGATTATCAGAACATGTAAAAATCAGTTCATCGTCTTTTTTATACAAGCAGTTTGAATGTCAAGTTCCCTCTGGTAGTCAAACATAACCCATAGGATCCATGGTGCTGCTATATATGGTAACATGGATCCCATCAATATACCCCCTTTATGTTAGCATATATACCAGCACCATGGTTCCGTCATGGGTAATGTGCTGCACCATAAAAAAACAGTAGTTACTCCGTAGTTCAATGACTTTCCCAGCCAAAAACCATCCGTTTAGATATCAGGATTTCCCAGCCAAAAACCTCTTTTGGGACAGGATGACCAGTGGTCCAGTGGTCCTTTGAAGTATTTTTGCTGGCCGATTTCTGGTCAAAGCCTTGTCCATTCATTGATTTACCCTCTGGTAAATTGACAGTTTGACCCTGAAAATCACCAATTTTTAGTGGAAACTAATCTTCCAACCCCGATGACTGCCAGGGTCTATGTTAATTTACTGGAGGGTAAACTATGTGCTGATTTACCACCCATCTGCCTAGGAACTGTCACCCAATGCCGATGAAAACCGGTCCTTTGACATGTCTCAAGGTGCCAGACGGCCAGAGGGTTATGTTTATGGGAAAAAACACATCATTGATATATGCAAAAAACATGAATATATATACACATGTGTATATATATATATACATATGTATACATATATATATATATATACATATGTATACATATATATATATATACATATCATATACATATACATACATATATATATATATATATTGACAT